GTCGAGCGGCCTGGCCACGGCGCTCCCTTGGCCGAGCCCGGCGAGCCTGCGCCCCCGGCTCGGCTTCTTCTCCCGCGCCGGCGAAAAAGTTCATCCGATGCACCCTAACCCTACCCCTACTTTCCCCTTTCTTTCTTTGAGTTGTTCTTTTCGGGTTTATCCGAATGGGGAAAAAACTAGGGTTAGGGTTAGGGTTTGTTCTTGCCGATTCGGGTTAGGGTTTGTTCTTGCCGATTCGTTTTCTTTGCTTTTGATTTCTTTCTTTTCGTTCATCCGAATGGAAAACTTGGGGTTAGGGTTAGGGTTTCGACCCTTCTTTCTTTCTTCTTCCCCTTTTCTCTCTTTCGGATTTGTGTCTAGGGTTCTCGGAATCCGACCCTCCCCTTTTCCTTTCTTTCGATTTGATTTGGGAAATTAGGGTTAGGTCTTAGGGTTCGGCTTTCTATTTTCTTTTCCGATCCGCATCAGATCGGTCGGTTTCACTTACCCGATCTGATTTCTTGTCGAACCGTGGCTCCGATACCATTGTTAAGTTTCGTTTTTAGGCATGTTCATCAGATCGGGATGTATTGGTAGTAGGAATAGGTGTTCAGGATCACAGAGAGACAGAGAGAAAGAGGGTGATAGGTTGCAAACCATCAAATGCCGTAGTTGTCGAAGCTCCGGCTGAGATTTCATTGACGGATGCCATCTGCGCGCCGGCAGCGACGTTCGGTGGAGAGGGAGTCGGCGTTGTGGCGTCCTCGGCGGCGACGTGTGCGTCGGGGTGGCGTTGCCGGCGTCGGTGGTGCTTTCCGTCGCTGGCAGCGCCCCTTCTCAAGATCGGGTCTAGGGTTAGGATGTCGGTGGAGTGACTGGCGGCGCGGTGAACCTCATACTGCGAGCCCCGGCCCCCACCTTTCCTTTATAGCACTGTGCGACGGGGGCCCACCAACCATGTAGGGTTGGGCGCCCCCGATCAGGGCGCGAGGACAAGGTAACTGGTGGGATATCAATCCTAACAGTGTGGAGTTCGTGAAGGACAAGGGTCGAGAAGCAGTGCACAACTAATCAGGTCTTATGCGGAGGAATGGTCATCTCTGAAACAGAATGGTATGGAGCCTGCACCACCCTGACCAAAAGTAGTATGGTGTAGGCCACCTGAAGGCTTTGTGAAGCTCAATTGCGATGGAGCCTTTAAACATTGTGATCGTTCTAGGGGGTGAGGCTTTGTGCTGCGTGGTGGTGGAGTTGTCATTAGCTCAGGCGATCTTAGGCTGGGAAAGTCTTGGAGTCATTTCACGCAGAGATTATTGCCTGTCTGCAGGCTTGCAGAGAGCTGCTGAGCTCGGGATTCAAAAGGTCATGCTAGAGATAGATGCCATGCTGGTGGTTTAGGCAACAACATCGTGAGACTACGATTGTTGCTCGGCAAGTGGTCTAATCTGGGAGCTAAAAGACCTACTTTTGTGTAATAATGTTTCGAGAGTAGCGGCTTATAATCCTCGCTCATGTAATCTGGTTGTTCATAGTCTAGCAGCCCTAGGGGCAAGTCCGAGTCCGGATACTGCCTCAGACGACCAAGATAATATTCTAGCTTGTATTCAGGATCTGGTGGCCAAAGATTGGGCATCAATTATTGCCTAATGGAGATTACTTCCATGTTCAAAAAAACAAACCTTAGATTTTATTTGAGCATGAATTAGCAAAATATATAAATAAGTAAAAATACTAATTCTAGACATAGATCATGAGGGCGTTGGCGTGTGGCCTAACGGAGCAAACAAATTTGGCCGGCCCTTTTGGGCTTTGTTCATGCATTTGGCCTAGTATTCCAACTTGACCTTATGCAAGTCTTAAATTTAGCACAACAACCGCTCTCAAGTAGTTAGAGCAACTCAAGAGACTTGTCATCCCGTCATGTATAGTCTCATTTAGATAATTTGGTATAAAATAAGCCTCCAACAGATTATCTATCTCGCTTTGTAAAAATAGCCAAGAGCTATTCCTTGAGTCTCGCTCGTCATAGATAGCCAGCGTCCCTCGCTTGCCAAATGGGCAGATGGGCAGGACAGGATGCACCTCGTCATCGTCACGGAACGCCACCCCTAGGGATCCAGGCATCCAGCTTCGCACATGCCGACTTCATCTCTGTGCCGCCGGCGCCGCGCTACTGCATAGCGCGCCCGTGCGCATGTCGGGGCGGCAGATCTCTTTTCTTTGCACCCCACAATCGACTCCGTGGCCACGTCGAGCTTCGACGAGCAAGCAGTGCGTACTACATCAGCTGCCGCCAAGCAACACGATCCCAAGGAAGTGCACATGTTCGAGTGGAGCTGCAGTGCTTCCGCAACGTTTTAGCTCAGGCCTCAGGCTTTGGAAGATGGTCTGTGACGAGGTGCTCGACGGCCGGCCATCTCGTCCGTAGTGGCGTAGAGAAGCTGGAGGCAGATGGCGTCGCAAACATGGAGCTATCGCCGTTGCGAACACAAACGTCATCGATCTGCTCACGCTCGACCCGCACAAGCACACTACGGCGGCGGCCTATTCTGGCAGTGAGGCATGACGCTTCGACGAGAAGCAAGGCATGCATGAAGGTGTTCGACGGTGTGCTCCAAAGTGATGCCGTTGCACTTCAAAGTAGGCCTGATGACTAAAGTGATGCCGTTGCACTTCAAAGTAGGCCTGATGACTAGCGACAGGTTAGAAAACAAATAGCGAGCTGGTTTTAGAAAAGCTGCTGCAGAACTTTCATACTTGGACAAGCTAAGTTGCTTTGGAGTGCCGGTTTACCTATCCAAATTTACCAATGCTCTTAGAGTTGCTCTTACCGAGACATGGCACAGCTGAATGGTCATCTGCCAACCCATGATTGATGCGTGTCCATGTGTAACTACACTACAACAAACCTATCATTTTGACATTTTCACCATGACAAAGAGTGAGAACAACATTAAATCATCTAGTTTATGACATTAACCTTCCTGCCTTTCTACTTAATGACGTAGAAAAAATTATTGTCACAAAAAATGTCATGATGCATGTCGCCATGCTCTTATGACAATACTTGCTATGTCATAGCGGTTAATTTGCAATGTCATAAACCTACGACACCCATTATATGTCACAAAACATTTTTATTTTATTATTTAAAATATCCTTGCCACGTTAGCTGAGCCTGTGATAAAAATTTTATGTCACAAAAACTTTTGTTGCATTTTTTGAAATATGTTTGCTACGTTGGCGCTACGTGGCCAGCGTGTCCATATAATTTTTAGTTGATGACTTTTCCATTAGACACGAATGAATAAACGAATAAAATAAAAGTTATAGATCTCGATAAGGTCTAAAAATTTGTAGTTGACGACTCTTTTCATTTAAAATCAATTACTATCCCAAGATTGTGTTTGTAGTTCTCATAATTTGAAATTCAAAATTTTGAATTCTTCAAATGAACTTGGATGAAGAAATGACCAAAATCAAAGTTGTCAATTTTGATGAGGTCTATAAATTTCTAGTTGACGACTTTTCCATTTGAAATCGTTTACTATTCCAAAATTTAGTTCGAAGTTCTCATATTTTGAAATTTAAATTTCAGATTGTTCAAACAAAGTCAGATGGAGAAATGACCAAAAGAAAAGTTTTAGATCTCGATTAGTTCTATAGCTTTGTTGTTGATGACTTTTTATTTGAAATCACTTACTCTCCTAAAATTCTGTTCGGAGTTCTCAAATTTTGAATTTTGAATTTTGAATTTTCTAAACAAATCCGGATGAAGAAATGACCAAAATAAAAGTTGTAGATCTAGATGATTTATACAACTTTATAGCTGATGACTTTTTCATTTGAAATCATTTATTGTCCCAAGATTGTATTCGAAGTTCTTATATTTTGAAATTCAAATTCGAATTATTTAAACAAACTTGGATAGAATGAGCAAAACAAAAGTTGTAGATCTCGATTAGTTTTACAACTTTCTTTTTAATGACTTTTCAATTTAAAATTATATACGGTCCCATAAATTTGTTTGAAGTTCTCATATTTTGAAATTCAAATTTTGAATTGTCCAAACGAACTCGTATGGAGAAACAACCAAAGCCAAAGTTGTAAAATGTCAATGAGATCTACAATGTTTTTGTCGATGACTTTTTCATTTAAAGTCATTTATGTTCCTACATTAAAGTCTAAAGTTCTCGTATATTGAAATTCAATTTTTCAAATTGTTGGCCCAAATTCTGAGCCTATTCCAATCCTTGGCCCATTCTCATCCTTACCTATTGCATATTTTTTTCTATTCAAGTAAATAAGGTACATTGTGAAAGTTCAAACAGACTCAGAATGAATAAACGGCCAAAACAAAAGTCTAAAAATCTGTAGTCGATGAATTTTCCATTTAAAATCAATTACTGTCCCAAGATTGTATTTGATGTGTGAAGGAGAAGACACCTCTGATTGGAGAAATGGATGATTTTACGTTTGCGTCACTCGATTGTTGGACTCCGGGATTTGTTTATCCAAAACCGTCCGGTTCGTTTTATCGTAGAACGATATTGTATTATTTCCATACAAATCTTCATGAGGGTTATATTTTTTGTAATTTTTATAAATAAATGTATTAAAAAAATTAAAACTTTAGCCACGCCATACAACCGAGTACTCCACGTCAGTATCGTCGCTACATCATGATGGCTAAGGTAGAAATCGAGGATAACTAACTGTACAAAAGACCACCCATCATCTGTAATTAGCAATAATAACGTAGCGAAGCAATTGTCCACGAGATTCTTGGGTACAACTAGTGTGTGTTGCACACTGAACAAACTCTTCTATTATATATTTATATATAAAACAAAATAGCTTAATGTCTTCGATTCAGAAACAAGCTCAAGCAGGTTCATCAACACAAATATATACAGAACAGAGAGAAGGAAATGGAAATGCTCTACGCATATCGGTACTCCTTTCCATTGACGATTTTAACTTTGGGGCGGCTGCGTTTGCCTCGCCTTTGAACACGCGGCTCACCCACCATGCCAGCAAAGCTCAGCAGGGCACCAAAATGCCTTGGGCACAGGCCAACTGCGATCCAACAATTTGCACACGATGTAATGTCTGTGGCAGAAGTTCAAGCATGCGCGACATTGAAACTTCACAATATGAATATGATGATGTATTTCAAATTCAGAATACCTGTTTGAACGAACACTCTTGTCTCCAAAAATAGTCCAGTCAAGCAGGGCAGCAGATTGATAATAACTAGCATGGCCTACTTCAGGAACAGACCTGTCAAACGTATCAAAGGATGGATTTAACCAAAAATCATGGTTGAAGCAACCTGTTTTAACAAGATTCTAAAACGAATTGTTCACACTAGTCTTGCAGCCAAGTGCACGCTCTAAGCCTGAACATGTTAAAAAAAACACTTAATTCCAGAAGGAAATCCAAACATACCGCTTTGTCTTAAAATATGCCAAGACATCAAGAATCACATCCCATGATAGGTGCGGAGGTCTAGTTCTTTGCATGTCATAGAAGCTCATGCCAATAAATTGCCCGTCAAGATCAACGACAGGCCCTCCAATCCCAGCCTAACCAGGTGGACATGGACAGGTTGTCATTTGTAATGCCAAACAGATATGTAACTTAACTACAACCATGTAAATAAAAGCAACAAAAAAAGGAAAATAGTAATCAACAGCAGTACCTTGGTGATTTTACATGTGGAGTACTGTAGCAACTTGCAATCCAGTCTCCCCAACCTGTTCACATGTATTCCTCTTGCAGACATTAATATGCCTGATTTTATGCAATGCCCTACAGATACTAATTGACGAGGACGATTATGCCTCCGATGTTCAATATCTATTGGATGTGGAGAACAGAAATCCTTGACACTGACTAGAGCAACATTGTAATGTAAATTATAATGTTGTAATGTCCCTTCTCTGATATGTTTGGTTGGAAGCAACACTTTAATCTGTAAAATGGCGTAGTAAACTTAAGCAGTACCATGCTACAAGAATAAGGATCAATAAGAGTAGTTAGTAGCACCAACCCTTAAGTCTTCAAGAATCTTCTTGTCATCAACAAAATCTGACAGTAAGCTAGCTGACGTCACAATACTTGTATATCCATTCCATTCAATAAAAAAACCCGTGCATGCAAAAATCCTTTTTTCCCTGCATATCACATTGGCTATTAATTAGTGATAAACAAATATAAATATGAAACAGTTAAATAGCACATTATTGTAAAATCACCATAGCATGAAGCAAGTGCAACAACGTTTTGAGATATGTTACAAGAAACTGTTTCGCTGAGTTCACTCCAGACACCACTGCCATATTTGTCGCCAAAAGTATCTTCAAAAGTATTAACTAAAATCATGCCATCTGCTTGAAGATACATAGTACAATTAGCTGAGAGCTGACAAAGGTGCGGCATAGCTGTAAAAAGAACATATGAAAAGTCAGAAATTTCACAACTGTTGACTCACCAGACATATCTATTGGTGGCTTTGGATAACCTGAGAAGTCTAAATCCTCAAATGGATCATCAATAAGAACATCACTATTTCCTGGTGCAGTAAAGTCAAGTTATTGGAACTGACATATGCTAATACTGACTAGTGATTATCATGTAATAATCACCACAAAACTCAGTACATAATATCCAATTGTAAATTTTAGAATCTGATGATAGCCTGAGTGACAAATCAGAAGTGGTTCTGCATGAAAATACCCATAAACAAAGTGTAACAGTGTTACTGGATTAACACTAACATATGAAAGTATCAAAGTATAACTGTAAGAGGCGGTACTTATTATGAATTACAAATGTAAAACCATTTGATCCGTGACACAAGTCACCGAATTAATGAAACATGATATGGCACAACTGTAGCTGCTCAAATAAAGCTGTAAAAACCATGTGCAGAAATAAAAGGAAGAACCAGCAGACCAGAAATCAATGACTTGGTTGTCTTTCCTCCACCACTGCAAGTTCTTTTCTTCTCCGAGCTTCTTGCGAGATCAGTCCTCTTAATATTCAAGCTTGTGAGATCATCAGTTCTTTTATTCTTCTTCAAGCATCTTGTTAGATCAGCACCACTGTTCTCAGGTACCAGTGTCTCACCAGTACTGAAGCAATTTTGTTTTTTTTTTTAGAAAAGGCAAAAATGTGGGTCAAAACCAGTAAACCAACACTGCAAAATCATCACACCTATTAATTCAAGTGCCCTAATAAAGGTTTTATGTCAAGGATGATGGATGTTGACCTAACACAAGCTTTAGTATGAGGCCCAAAATCAACTTAAAAGCTAAACTAACAAAAAAAGTGAAACACCAACTTTGGATTTCCAGTAGGGCCAACCGACCAGGGGCTAAAAATGGTAGCCCAATAAGCTCATTTCATTGCTCTACTATGGCCCTGGCTTATGGTCTCGCCTGATCTATTTTAGTTTTGTTGCACAAAACTGTATTTAGGAACCTGACAAGTTGCTGCATTTATAATGTATGTCACCAAGTAAAGAGTGTTCCCTCTCAAAACTTGATGCCAAAAAAAAACTACGAAAGTAACATCAAGTAACTGTTTTAAAAAAAGGAACATCAAGTAACGATCTAAATTATTGCCGCCTCCCACCACCCAACCACCACCAAACACACGGACACACAAGTTGTTTGGAATACAAAACAGCTCACCTTTTATGTCATGACGACGAGGGGGGCTAAATTGGGATATGAAAGAGAGGGTGAACCAACAATGGTCAAACATACAAAATGAAGTTAGAGTTAAAAAAGGCATACCTGCACGCCTTCAAGTTCTGTAACCGTTCGAGAAATTCACTCAGAAATATTCGAAAATGCTCCAACCGTTCAAAGATTATACTTGTTGGCAGGAACACATTTCTTTCTTTAACAAAAAAAAGGTTCATGCCAACAAGGTTCCCTTCTGTATTGAAAAGTGGGCCACCTTCCCAACCCTGGCACACAAAAAAGGTTACAGGAGCAAAACAATGGAGTTGTATGGAACAAGAGTTATTTAGGGAAAGAAAAAGGAAGCACATTCCTATTGCCTTGCCCCTGAGATACACTTTACTGCATATAGGAACAGAAACAAATTAAAATAACCCTATCATAATTCGAGTGTGCCTCAGAGACTGCATATAGGAGAAACACATTAAAATTAAATTATATCATAATGCAAGTGTACCTCACAGATTTTACAAGTGGACAGCATAAGCTCTTCACTATCTTCAGATTCTCTTGAATCGTGGGTCAGTATCCCACCAGTAGCCACTAATTTGCCAGAGATGCCACGCCCTAAAGCTACTACCTTTGTACATGGAAGAAATTCCATGTCCACCACATGAGTGAGACGTACAGCTTGAACATCAAGGCAGGATGTGACATTAACAATAGAAAGGCCATAATCTAAATCATATTTCCCCAAAAATCCTGTGACAACATTGCCTTCATAGCGCACTTCAACCTATATTGATAAATAAAAAACAAGAAATTGATCGAGATTATATTAACTAAATAATCATTTTTTACTAAAGGATGAATTGCAGCGCAAACCTTCAAGTTAGGCCTGTTTTGTTTTATCATTTAAAGCTCTAACCAAACTTGCTGAAGTCAGAAACCTTGTAACACACCCCTGGCATTCTATAGCTATTCCCGAGCATGCAAATAACACAGAGCTTCCTACACAACATTGCGATTTGAATCATGTATACGGCAATGTAGATATATATTCAGAAAACTAAGAGCAGCATAAATAATCACCACAGAGTATAGCAACCGAGACAACACTTTCAGACAAATTTGATGCAACTTCTTCACTGAGCTCACTCCAGACATCTTGTATTGAGTCCTGATGAATATCGCCTAGTTAAAGAAACATGAAACAGCACAACTGTGAATGCTCACATAAATAAAGATGTAAAAAAACATGTGCAGAAATGAGGAAGAAACAGACCTGGATTCAATGACTCTGCTGTCTCTCTATCATCATTGCAAGTTCTTTTATTCTTCTTTGACCTTCTTATGCGATGACCACCACCCGCTCTAATCAACATCGTCCAATACTGTTTTCTAAAGAAAACTGTGGGTTAATACCAGTAAAGCAATGCCATAAAACCATCAGACCCTCTAATAAGGTCTATTAATGCAGGGTTTTTTACAAGGTTGATGGGCCTTGACCTAATATAAGCTGCAGCGGCGTACCCAGTGCAGAGAGCTCCCGCTCCGTGCGGGGTCTGGGGAAGGGTGTTAGTGGCAAGCCTTAACCTCTCTTGTGCAATGCGACGAGACCGCGACTCGAACCCGGGACCTTCCGGTCACAAGCGATAAGACTCTACCGCTTGCAGCAGCCCAAAATCAATTTTGATGAAGCCAAATTGATGAAGCCAAACCATCATACTTATCCCTTTCCTCCACTGGATCATGTGTAAACTGTAAAGCGTTCTCTAATATTCATTAATCTTGATCATTACAATGATAGAGTGAACTCAGCCCAAATAGTCCCTTTAGGGGATAATAACTTGTCCATCCAAAAGGACCCAAGGGGATGCAAACGTGTAGGGAAATTTCGAAACCAAAAACCAACGTGCTCAGAGCGGACTCGTATAGGACATGGGTGTACACATGTACACCCGACAAATTTTGGTATAATACATGTATATACTTTTAATTGTTCCATAGATCCAGGTATAAGCAGCTTGCATTAGGGTTTGAGTGCTCGTTTTCGAACAGCAGGAAGGAAGAGATACCTGGGGGTGGGAGCGCCGCTCGCCCTTCGCCGGCAAAGAGACCAGCGCATGCGCATGGCGCCGCCGCTCGCCGCTCGCCGCTAGGAAAGAAAGGCCACGGGTGCTGTTGGGGGCGCTCCTCTTTCTTTCTTTATGCCCAGTTGCGCAGCCCACCCCACCTAACAAGAAGAAGTAGAAGCCCATTAATTTTTTTTGTTGATCCCACGGCCCAGCTGATCCATAGCAGCCCATATTTTTTTTTATTTTTTTATGTACTTTTTATTAATTAATTCAATTTTATCCCCAAAAATGGAGGAGATATACTTCTATCACCAATTTATCTATATTATAAAAAATAAAGATTTAATAAATACTTCTCACCCAGTTAGTTCATGGCCACCTCTTAGCTTACCCTTTCGATGCTCTTTGAACACGGATCTAACACCTGAACTGAAAATCATCTGGTCATACATGATGGAGCTCACAAGAGAGAAGAGTGAGGATGGAGATGGAGCTGACTTGTCTCCCCACATGTCAGGCATACATGTATGGGTTTAGAGCCGCTTGAATTGGTTATGAGTCCCAAACATTGGGAATGTTCGGCTGGACTAAATCTGGCACTGTTCATGCTGGTTTTCTATGAGAGAGAAACCCTGCTTCGGCTGGAAAAAAAGAGTGGCCAGCCGAGCACGCTCATTGATTAAGGACCTAAATGAGTGTTTTAAGAGTTTGAGGACCGAAATGACACATATGAACAAGTTTGAGAATTGCCAAGCTAGGGTCACACAACGGGCATATAGTATAGTTGTGACACGATCTTTCGAAAGGTACATGTAAGTCCATTTGTGAAAAATATCAACGTTGACGATCCCAGATTTCCAATCAAAATGATTCGAACTCTTGCAAACACTATACCATAACTCCATTAGTTATACTAGTATATTGTCCGTGCTAACGCTACGGTGACATCTAGAAAAAAAAATCTTAAAACTAAAATAAATCATAAAACTAAAAAACTAAATCAACAGATAAACATAAATTCACAAACATTCATGTCTAAGTCATCCATGTGTGTACTTCAATAGATAGATGTATGAGCTGAAAAAAACAGTAACAATAGCAAAGCTACAAATACTCCTATATATGACTCTCTACCGAAGGCACATATGATTGTACACGCTCTTTCTCTAACTGTCTTGTCTCCCCTGTCGTCTCTTGAACAGCTAAGGATGCCTTCCTCCCTGGATGTCCCTCTTGAACAGCTATTCCCCATTTCAGATTGTTCTCTTTTGATCCTCTCACTTCATAAGCAAGGCAACATCCTCTCACTTGAGGAGCACACAGATAGCCTACATGAGGATGCAGTTCGAGTACATTAATAAAAATGCTGGAGGGAAGTTTCCAATTTCTTCAACACAAGCAAGAGCAAAGGAAGATGGACACGATAAATCCCTAGGCCAAACAGCACGAAGCGCTCAGAGGATGGGTGCCGGACGATACAGATACAATAGAAACAATGTTAGGCAACAATATGATCCATTTTCAAAATGCATTCTATATCCCCTCTTTCAATGGCACACACACCTCAAATATGCTATGATGAATGTAAATCGAATTATGCTTTGGTGGTTCAATAAAGCCGCACAAACCTTTTCTCTAAAAAAAATCACCTCTTCCAATAGAAAGATCAATAGGTGAAGCCTTCGAGGCTTACAGGTCTCCATTCTCCTCAAATTCCTAAACTTCCAAAAGCACAGAGTAAAGAATATGCTAGCGGTTGGGAGCCCTTTACATATTCTACCGCGGATTCATGAGTCTCAACAATTTTATTAATTATATTAGCTAAACTTGTTCCCCATGAGTCTAATCAAGAGTCTCCGTTGTACTTGGGCTAACAAACAAAAGAAAATAGAGTAGCAATTAGTTATGCAATAGGGATAAATACATATTGTAACCGAGGTTGTAACATTTTTTTTGCCAGCGATACTTTTAAACACACCTAATGAAATTTACGCATGATGCCCCCATGATCCAATGAATGATGAAAAATCTTAATTCTTTTTTTTTGAAAAAAAAATCTTAATTCATACATTTGTACTACTACACGTAATTTTTCAGAGATAGATTTGAAGTCTGAGCAATATAAATGAAAAGGTGCAGATGAGAGCTTTACCTTCCAATTAGCAGCCTGTTCGCTTGCTCGTAAACGATCGTAAATTTCCAGTCGGGAACAGTGTTTTTCTCTCACACCAAATCAGTCAACAGTAAATAATCCATGATACGATACGGCCTCCCGAACAGGCTGTAGATTTGACGATGATATGCCCCCGGCCGACCGTGAGCCCGCCAAGCACGCCGCAGTGGAGCACTGAGTTTACTTTCACTATAACACTACACATGCAAACCATGACCACGGCCTGGTCAGTTGGCGACGGCCACAACAATCTTAAGCATGCGCCACCCTGAACTCCAGCCAGATAAGTGGTACTTTGAAGTTCAGTTTCTCTGCAAATATCACATCCCAGCTGCAGTCCTTGCTCTCTTGCGATGGAACAATCAGGTATATGTAAAATAAAACTGAAATATATGGAAACTAAAACATGATCTGAGTCAGTTAGTCTGAGTTATCTTCTTCTCATTGCTTCTTTCATCAAGTAAAATTTGTCTAGCTTTACAGAATTACAGCGCAAATCTAAAGATTTTAAAAGACTACATACAGGTCGTATGGTTTCTTCGGTGTTGATATTGCAAGCACACTGGACAGCTTATGCACATCTGTAAAAATATAATTAACTGATTAACTTTACTTGTTAGTAAGCACACCTCCAAAGTAGCTGGGCTCGTAACTTTTCTCATTTGCAGGACAGTTATGGCATTGTTGCCGAAAACACAAAATATTCATGAGCCGTAGAAGCAAAAGGCATCAAAGCCCCTACATCATTTTAACTAATCCATCTTGGCACTTAAGTTTACACTACTCCCTAACCAATATGTAAAACAACAGGAAAGATAATAAACAAATGATAGAATGGAACAATATCGATCCTTGACAAAAAAAATATCATTACTTTCCAAGCACTAATTTTATAATATATCATCACAATTTAATTGTCAATAGTTAACCTCTGAAGAGTGAGGTCTTCGCATTTCCAAGATACAAAATGTATGGTGCTGAGTGCCTTACCAGCTTAGCCAGCAACAGGGAGATGGCATGCACTGGCTGAGCACTAGCGCGGAGGCCCCCAGCTTCATGAGAACGTCCCCAATCGTTGTTCTTATGGCTCCACGTACACTGAGTAAGAACCCGCAACCAGAAAGTCTTTAGACAAGAACTACTCAACTTAGCTGGGTTATATCTAAAACTCCTGTAAAATCAGATAGAAAAAGGAGCATGCTTTGAAAATAAGGTGGAATTCTGTCACAAATTAAATAGCACATGAGCAGATTGTAGCATGGCTCAAAGAGTGTGGAACAAATGTTAGATGAATAAGGGCAGGCCCTGTCATATATATGAACTGTAGTTTGAATTCTTAAAAGTCGTTGCCAAATTACAAATGTGCCACTAATCCATGAATGACAATATAACTAATGTTCATATATAAATACTGCGTGTTGAAAGATAAAACTTTAATTATAAGATTATTTTTTAGTTCAAAGGTAAGGTCTCTCTGAATTTTGACTCAGTATCAGAACTGTATTTTTAGACAGACAACTCTAACATAGCATAACTCTCAATCCAGTGCAGTATACTTTGATGGAAAGCTTGGATAAATTTCTACGACCTTAAACTTATCAAATTTTGCGGGATAACCATTTAATGTTCTCTAAACTAATGGTCTAACTGCAGTTTCAGAACATTGACAACACAACAATAATATTCACATATGTATAACTCCTGCATCTTTCATCAAAATACAATTGCCGGCAGTTAGGTTCCAATGATATCCACGGTTTTGTAATTATGAGTTTTTTTTGCAGGAAAAAAATGTTTCCGTTACCTAATAATCGAGAAACAGAAACATGGTGAAGATCCATCAAAAAATCATTGCGAGCAGTTAGGTCCCAATGATATCCACAGCTTTGTAATTATGAGTTTTTTTGGCAGGAAAAGTGTTTCCGTCACCTAATGATCGAGAAACAGAAACACAGTGAACATCCAACTCAAAGTTTAACGTCTAAACCTATGCTCTGATCCTTCTCCACCAGGAATCCAAACAAAAAAAATATCTCCAAAATCTAGGTAATGGTAAGGGAAAGTTCTCCAGATGATGGGGGCTATTCATGGTCTGGGTAGGTCCGCATAGCAGCTGCACCCTGCGTGGGGAAGG